TTTATTAACACATATAAAAAATAAGAGCATAAAAAACCACAGCACAAGTTATAGTTTGTGATATTTAATTATTATTACATTAATTATTATAGTATTTCTTTTACACAGTTAGAATTTTGTCGTGACATTATGTGTTGTTATTTGTCCTATCATGATAGGATCGTTTGGTTTTTTTTGCTATAAAACAGGTAATGATTCTATTTCTTTATTTTTTTTATTTAATATCAACTAGATGTAACTCTGCGTTTTAAGAATATTATTGAATTACTGAAGATGGCCAGATTGTGGCCGAAACGTTTAATGTTTTAATTAATGTAATAATAATTAAATATCACAAACTATAACTTGTGCTGTGGTTTTTTATGCTCTTATTTTTTATATGTGTTAATATTAGAACCACGTTAGTTTCAAGATATATTTTATAAAATTTATTTTTTCTTATTCAATGATTACTTGTACAATGTGAACTAATTTTATTTTGAACTGTATGTACCCCACTTACATATATTTTCATTACACTTTTATATATTGAAATTTCAACGAACAAATAAATTCGTATAATAGACTAAGAATATACATAAATTAATCATTTGTAACATATTCCTTATTCATAAATTAATTCATTATAAAAAAAATTAATTTATATAATTCACGGCTTTATTCTCCCTCACAAAATTCACAAAAATCACATTTATACAAATATATAAATTTAGAATGGCCGCATTTTTGGGTCAAAATGATAGAAAGTTTACAGTATTTAATTACATTACATCTAGTGATTTTGACAATCATCAGCATGACAGAGACATCTGTGCAATAATTTAAGATTTTGAATGTAATAAATATTGGTAGGTATGGTAGGTATTGGTAGATATGCTGATGAGATTATATCTCTCGCGTGCAGATGGCGCTAGTTAATCGATGTCGCCACATCGATAGATTTGAAATGCCGCGCTCCCGATCAGTTGGCAAACGTGATAATAAATGTATGGAAATGCATTTGAGTCGGTTGATTTGTTCAAATTTTTCGCGATTATTTTTGTAAAAAAGTGAATATCGCGCGGAATAAACAATCGCGAATCGCCGTTCGGCCGTTTGTCATGTATGTACATACCTTCGTCAATCGTCAATTACGGTGTGCGCTAATATCGCAGTTTTATTAAACGTCGCGTATCGTTTCGACTTGAAGAATCGCCATGATGCTCTGACCAAATTTGAATTCGAGACTAATTACGGAATCGCGTTGCATCTGATAGAGTGTTTTCTCAGTATTTTTGACGAAATGTTGATACGCAGAAGTATATCTTGCTATAGTTGCTCAGAAAAAAATAATCGCGAGTGTTCGGAATATTTTTCGCGTCGTTAGACGTTCGACGTAATGTATTAAACGCCGTTGTTTGCGCGTATTATAATTTCGGTATCGATATCTGTGCTCGATGTGCTGTCTCCTCCTGAAATTGATTGAGATGGTCTTCCTGTTGTTTTTTTTACTGGAGGAACAAAGATGCAGCTATTATGCACCTTCTAACAAGCCACATAAGTGACACTGTGTGACACAATGGATCATTACTTTGTTATTTGCCAATGTTAAATAAAGATGACATGATCATTGTGTTGCACTGTGTCGCTTATTGGAAGGCACGCATTATCAAGTATGTATTATATATAGAATATATAGATACATATATTATATAGGATAGAGCGAAGCTTTCTAATTCATTTTTTACTGTAATGTTATATATATGTTTTTAAACAGAATGAGTATTTTTTAATCAGAATGGAGTATTTAAAGGGTGTGCTGTGCTCTTAAGGAGCAATCATGATTGTTTAATGTAATTGTAAGCACATTACTGCAAAGAAATATTATTTGTCGTCGTAAATTTTCAAGAGTTTAAAGCTGAAAGTAACAAAATAACCTCGCCCTATATATTTCGCAACTCTTTATAATTAATTATATACACACACTTTTCCATACTTTCATTATTCTATTTTCTTTTTAATATTTGAATAATGGTAACAAGGGATAACAATGATAAGGGATAAAATGAATGAGAAGAGCGAATGATGTCATTTTCTGATCTCGCATCGCTTTGCATTTCAATAGAATATTATTGAAAGTTATACGTAACTAGATCAAAAATTTTAATTAAAAAATAAAATATAATTATTTTTATTTTCCAAAACTCTCATATTAATATTAAAGTTATTACTTATAATCAATTTACAGTTGTGACTATTAAACGCATAATTTTCTATTTTTAATGGAATTGAAGAAAAATTATTTATTATAATTATAATATTTTTTTAGTAATATTTTATTTAAATTTAAGTCAAATATGTTTACTAACTTTTTCTACATTACCAACAATCGAGTCTAAGAAGTTTTATTTATTCAACACTGAATTTTCAATGATCGGCATTTTGCCAATATCATGAGATAACTACAGAAGATAAATTAGAAGAAAACTTTATAAATAAAAAATGTAATAATAATAATTATAATATTAATTTTATCAAATTATTTAAAAATCAAGCATTTTCAAGCATATTATAATAATTAATAATTCAAAGCATAGAAGTAGATTTTGAAAAATGTGTAAATATTAATTAAACTATTATAATTAAAAAAATATTGTTTACAATTTATATTAATATGATGAAGAACAATAAATATTTGTACATATATTATTATTTATTATGTATTATCATTTATAGGTAACAAATTTATTTTATTATCGATTAAAGACATATGTAGAGCAACAACATTATTATTACATATTATTATTTTCAACATTCGAGACATTTTGTAAATCATAATGCCATATTTTTTATTGTCTGATCTTTTTTGAACAATCTACTCTTTTATTAAAATTGATAATATTATTTTGTCAATAATATTTCAATAGTTGATAATTTGTAGTATTACTTAAATTAGAAAGGACTTTATATATGAATACATCATCTAAGAGAATCCTTTAAATGTAATACAGATAACATTGCTTTTTAAAAAAATTTCCAAATAAGTAAAGAAAATGTTTATGTGTAATATTTTTTATCAAAGCTATATTTAATGCTATTATATTACAGAATGTTTCTCTGATTGCTAATTATATCTTGTTCACTTATCTCTTTAATGGATATAAATACGAGGAAAAAGAATAATTCGTGGAAACAAATGATTATTTTTAAATTATTTTTTCCGATGTTATTATTTAACAAAATTATCTAAATAGTACATAATACAATTATCAAGTGATATACACGATACAATAATTAAATGGTAGGACATTTACGTATATGCATTGTTACATAAGTTTGTTGGATTCCTGATGAGCGATGATTGCCAAATTTTGTTAAACTGGTTTCTTCTTCAATGCATATTACTGACTAGTCAAAAGATGTAATTATATTATAATATGAGAGAAGAAAGTATTATATTTCGTTGCTATTTTGACATTCCTCTAGGAAAGAAAGTCCTACGACATTGTTTGTTTCTATAATCAAGAAAAATACATATTTGGACATTACAATCAATTTACTTCAATTTATGCAACAGTAATTACAAAATATTTTTTTCTCAAACATTTTTAATATTTTTATATTATCATTACAATATACGCAAAGTAGAATATTCTTCAAAACAAAAAATAAGAAAAGAATAAAAATATGTTTACCCAGAAATGTTGTAAGATGTATTTATCTCCTACAAGGAAGTCACTAAAATCTTTCTGCATCCTCCGTTACGAGCAGGCCTATAACCTGGCGGACATTTCGGCTGTACCCGATTTCTTGTGGGGAAAGTCAGTGGCCGTCCCTCGCACGCAAATACTAACATTATCATCGCGAGAATCAGTAGAATTAAACGGGCGGGTGCCATTATTATGGACGATATTGGATCTCCTGATCACTTTCTCGAATTTCAAATTAGGAAGACAAAATCAGACAGATTGGCGTCAAGTTTCTCTCCTTTTCCTTACGTACGCGCTTGCAACATCAATATGCTAATAACTGGCTGCTACAACGATAGCGCATGTTTATATACAACTTAGGCTCATCAGTGTGGTTTTCCGTCTCCGTCATAATTAATTAGTGGTCAAAATCATATCCTGATTGCTTACGCAAGAGCGTTAACTTGAAACTTCCGCGCGATAATAAATTATTGTGCATGGTTGTGTGCGCTATGCACATTCTAGATTTTATGCGCACATTACCAATAAATCTTTTTTTATGACTCAACGAAGATGTAGGCGATAGGAAAAAACTATAATACAAGTCTGTATGTTTAAAGTACTGTATTCTTTACTTTATTCTTACTCATGTTGTGATATCTATAGGTATACTTGTATAACAGTTTCATATATTCACGTATATCTGTCTATACATGAATATTTTAATTATTTATCTTATATATATTTTATTTAAGGAAAAGGAATTATATAAATAATTATTATACATCATTTAGGTTCAATTGCATCAACGTTACTTTGAGAAAGAGTTTTAAGCGAGGCTTAAAACTCTTTCTGTCTCTTTTTGGCTTTAAAACGAGACAGAGTTTTAAGTCTCGTTTAAAATCAAAGTGATATTGGTGCAATCGAGCCTTTTATATATATATGTGTATATATTAGGTGTTGGAATTAATTCGTAGCGTTTTTTAATGAAAGAATGTTATTTATTTCACATGAGCATTAAAAAATACATTAATGAAAGTACTTCCCATCACTTGTAAAACGCTACGAATTAATTCCAACACCTAATATATTTGATTAATTATCTTCTATATATTTCTGCGTGTGTGTTCAAAAAGAAATATAACTAATTTAATTGGATTTTATGAATATAATAAAAATATTCTATTTATTCTTTAATTTAAGTATATACAAATTTAATACTCTATATTCTCTTCACTTTGAATTTAATTGTTGTCATGCTTAATATAAAATGATAGCCTATTCTTGTGTAGGGATAAATATACTTGACAAAATAATTTAGTTTGTAGTCTGTACATCTTAATTGCATTTCGAATGAAATTTACGATTGCCAATTCGATTCAATGAACTATAGATCTTACATAAATCATTAATTAAATACATCTCTCTCTCTTTCTCTCCCTAATTTCCTATAATTTTCATAGACCTACAGAGATGCCTGTTAGATATTTATTCCCATGATTAGAATAATATTCTTGTTTCCTTTTTAATCCTTAATGTTAAAGCCTTCTCTTTCCCGGAGATGTCTTTTCTTTCATAAATAAGAGTGGTCCAACTGTCTATAAAGAATCTGTAACAAAAACCATGATCTTGTTTATTTTGATTTGTTTTACGCAGAGTTTTACATATAAGTTTTACACATTACTCTCTATGGTTGAAAGTAAGAGCTATACGGTGTATGCAGAAATAGAATGGCCGCTATAAATAAAGATCTGAGCAATTTATTGCATATTTAAGTTTGACGTGAGTATGAAAGGGATCGATACGAGGTGACGATTGTGTGCGCATTTGATAGACGAGTAGGCTGAAATAGTTGATGAGTTGTACTAACTTCCGGCAAAGAAAATCAACCTTAAAGCGTTACACTTCGTCAGAACAAGTTTACGTCATGCTATAATCAACTAGGCATAAATGTGAACGTGTTTGACGTCAGAGCATTGTAGGAATCAAGCATTATTGGTGGACGTGTATAAAATAAGAATGATGAGTTATATCTAATGTATACAACTTTATATATACATAGCATTCATCGTTGATTACATACTGTGTAACATTATCTACAAAAATATTATTGCTTATTTATTTATATATTTATTTATAATATGCACTGACAATAAGTCTTTATTGAAAACTTATTTGAATTGATTTTGCAATAAAAATCTTTATTGAAAAGATACACTTATAAACATAAGCGCAGTAGACTTTAGAGTTTAATACTTCAAAAAATGAAACATCAGCAATATAATACTGTTTATAAATCTACACAGAAAAGATGGTTTTGTTGAAGTAGATCTGGAAATTTAGTTAGATATAGATTTGAAAATAATTTTGTTTGGGCCTTCTCAAAATAACTATGTAGGATTGGTTGCTAGAATGTTAAAACTTTTTGTTATTAATGTTTAAGCGTTTTACATAATTATTTTAATAGTCCAACAAAATTATTTTCAGCTCTATAGCTGTAATTAAATTTTTAATACATTAGCAAAATTGTTCCTTTTGTATAGATCTTAATAAAAATTAAATAATGAATAACATAATAAATAGAAAAGTTATACGATAATAAGTAGACATTTCAGATTGTATGATTAATGATAGAAATAATATTGTATATTGCTTGCGTCGTTGCAAATGTGCGACGCAGTAATTGATGCTTTATTTGTAATGAAGAGAGTTTCTGCTCCTTAAAAAATCCCTTACCTAAAAGAGGTTTCGACAGCGATTTCCAACTTTGACCTTGTCCGGTGGACATTGTATAGGAACATTAATTATTGATCCAGTATTGAGTGATAGTTTGTAACTATCGCTGTCGAAAGGCAAAAAACGTTTTTCTTCTCGCGAGGCGCTCTTGTCGGTCGCGTGCGTACTCGACGTTAAGATGAAAAATAACACTAACACGAACATTACAGCCAATAAAAGCTTCATAGTTGCGTATGACTGTAGTATACAGTGTGCAATCAACGACTGAAGCCTGTCCAGATCTCGCCTCTCAGTAACTTATCCTGCGCTCGCGTCGCGTCGTTTTCAATCTGTTGGAATTAATTGTATATTTGCGTGATTCTCATGGATAAATTTTTTCTCGATTGTAATCACTTTTTCAAGAATTTAAACGGATATATCATTCAAGATATCTGACGCAATCTCACATAATCACGTGTAATCTTTACATACCTCGAAGAGGCGTCAAGCGATTACCGATAGCAAATTGCCCATAGACAGTTATCTTGGAATAAAATGCAACAGTCACAATACGAATAACGACACTTTGTTGCGTACGAGTGCTTGTGCTTCAAAAATACGTGGCCAAAAATGGTTATCTCCGTTTATTTAATGATAAAGTTTGTTAATCACGACACGAAGCGTTTCTTTTAAATTTTATCAGACCGATGATGCTTCATCGCGTTGGAACGCGAGAGATACGAAGCTTATTGTTAAATTAGGCGCGTGATAGGCACGTCTCGACGGCTGACTCGTATCTTGCATTTTCCACATGAAAATTATTCGCCGAGGAGTGAACGCGATTGAGAAACTGGCGACGATCGATCTCTATTCTCTGTCTGCCACCATCGCCGTCGTCGCTGCCTTCTCGAAATGAATACAAACAAACCACTAGGAAACGGATGAGCGGGTTAATTAAAATCGACCTTGTACGCAAACCGGCTTAAAAGACATCTTTATCTGCGACGAGAAGACGACGTCGGGGGGCCTTATCAGTCCGGCGTGTCCAGAATTTTTCATCGATTCGAGATTGCGATATCGAGAATTGCATGATGAAATCTTGAACTTTACTTTGAGTCACCGATATAAAATCGATCTGCTGAAAGTACGTGTAGCGAGGTTAATGGTCCGTTTGTTGAACGATTCTAAAAAATTAGTCTAAAAAAATAATATACAGTATTTCTGTATGTATAATAAGAAAGATGTACAAATTGATTCAAATTATTGATTTTAAAAGAGATGTATTAAGCGCAAAAGTTTGTTTTGCTGCATCTATGAGCATTCTTGATAATCCTCGGTGGAACTTTCGATGATAGCGATGAATTATTTTTTTGCTGAACACAATTATCATGCGTGATAATATACACTATTTTTAAATTTAAACTTGTTTTTCTGGAGAACTAATTAATTTAAAAAATGTACTGTAAACAGGAAGAATAAAATTAAATAATCATTAATAGAGTGCTTAATTTTGGTGAAGGCTGTATCTTAACGGATAGCGAAAAAAATAAATAATCAGATTTCGTAGGAAATAATTAAAATCCATATCATATAAAAGATTAGATATTGATTCATAGTAGTATACAAAGAAAGAACGGTTTTGCTAAAGCATCTAAAGAGTTAACTATATAGATGAAAATGATTTTGTCTATCAAAATAATCATGTAAGACGCTTAAATTGATTACTTATAGAAAAAATTTTTATAGCATCACTCATTTCGGATTTACAATAGGTGTTTTAAGCCATAAGAAATTGGCCAATTACAGTCTAATGCGAGAAGAATAATTGACTATGATTCGTCCATTTTTATGGCTTAAGGCTTAAAAAAATCTATTACAGATCTGGACTTATGCTTGAACGTTCTGCCTAATCATTTAAATAGTCCAACAATATTATTTTCAGTATATCAAGCTAAATTTTTAGATACTTCGACAAAATCTTTCTTTCCATTTAGCGTTTAAAAGGAATATACCTTGCGTATTTATCAGAACAAACTTCACCACACTTGTCTACATTTGCCACGCCGATCGACTTGCTGACCCGGTTGACAGACTTTATTCCTTCGTGGTACGAATATTATTCTTCCTTGTACCGTGACCTCCGGAGGTGCCGTTGATGTAGCGCTGTCATTTCCGTTAACATTTAAAACTTGCGAGGTGTTTTGCGGTCGTATCAATTTGTCGATGGACATCGCGATGTTCGAGAAGGACCAACATCCGCCGAGGCTCACAGAGAGGATCACGAGTAGAAGAACCGTGTAAAATGTACGCATCCTTCTCAACTAATACCGGGCGACTAACAACTGTGCCATGCACGGTGTGTAATCCCGCTTAAACATTAACGGTCATAGCTCGATAACCTGATGACACTGATGATTCCAAGAGAGAAGCGCGTTTCTTTCGCTATTCAGAAAAATTTCAGAGTCAGTATTGAACTCGAATGGTTCGGCGTATCGTAATTGAACGGTAATTTCGTCGTGAAGTTCCGTCGTGAACTAAATGGAAATCGTGCATAGCTGTGACGGTATGAAAAAACTATGCGTTGCTTTTATATTTCAGAAGTTACGAAGTCGAGTATATACGCATTCTATTTCGTCGCGAGTGTTTTCGATAACCTTTGATGACACTTTTTATAGTAATAAAATCATCTCTAATGCTGAACACAATATTATTGTAAGAGTGAGATGTAATCTAAATGTCGTAATTATAACAATTTTTCTTACGTTAATTTAATACGTCGCAAAAGTAACATACCAATCGCTTGAATATCAGTTCACAAATTCACTCGAATTATCAAACGAAAGTCCGATGTAATGCATAGAACAGTACAGGAGCAAGTGATCATACCATTAATGAGACCATTGTGAAATGACTGGTAGTTAAACGAAAAAATCAAGCGCGTCATATTAAATTAACGTCAAAAAAATAGAAACGATATATGTACAGTAAATTTAATAAGTTCAGTGAATCCAAATAAATTATAACTTACGTATGTAAAAATAGCCAGACAACTAATGACCATGTCAGAACGAATGTTAAGACAACAATAACAGTGCGAAGTTCTAATTGTAAGAATTAGAAAAAGATGAAGAGTTAGTTGCATCGAGATTAAAATTAAACTATATTGGTAAAAACGGACATTAATTGCTTCCTAGATTAATCTTTTATTATAATTCTTTGTTTAAAGTTAAAATATTATTTCAGTCAATTCATGCGAATAACTAAATTTATAATCTATAATTACGAAAAGCTGGTTGGTATTTCTGAATTATTTTACATTACAATTTCCATAGATAATTTTTACAATTTTTTTGTTTTTTTTTAAATTTTATTATTGTAATTCCAAGGAGCAAGCTGACGTTACTTATCGTTATTTTGACGTCAAAAGAACATTAAACGTCATTTTGATGACATACGCATGACGATAGCCTAAAATAATATCAGCCTGTTATTTGAGCATAGGAAGTTTGTTTCAGAAAAAGTCTGTTTGCAATATTATAAATATTACAGACAGAGTACATAAGTAAAAGAATTTTAAAAAATCAGAACGATATCAAAGTATATATTGTGTTAAACGAAATATTTGTTGGAAAATATTTTTAAGTAATTATCGATAATTTTTTTATTAGATATTGTCATTGTTGATTAACATGACATTGCAGGCTCATTAGCGCAACAAAGTGTCTGTTAAAACTTTCGTTATAACAAAATTCAAGCTCTTCGTGGAATGCAAAGCGAACCGACTTATAACCGAGATTGCTCGCCAACGTCATACAGATTACTTTATCGGAGTATATGGGAGCACGTTTCATAGTCGTTAGAATTTCCATCACGTCCCTCGTTTGATGTATACGAGTCATCTATTTAAACAAGGATATGTGTATTATGATATGTCAATTTGTGCAAATCTTCACAAGATCGACATAGTAATAATACGTCTCTTTGTTATTTTTCATACAAATATCATACAATAATTTTTAATAACTTTTAGTTTAATCATATAATTGTTACAAGGAAAAAACATTTTATTTATAAAATTTCATAATTATTATAAATATTGTCTTCTTATATCTTTAAAAATATTTAATAAACTTGATTTAGTTTTATAAACTTATGGATTTATTAATCGATAATTAGTTCGATTTCTTGAAATTCTTTCAAATATTTGTCTACTACAATACGAAAAATATAACGTTATCGCAAAAAATATCGTGTTTATCATGCTATAATGTATAGCTTGCAAATGAGAGAATGCTTATTGTTAGATTTTCTATCGATTTAAAACGGTTGGTGGCGCCATCCATTGCTGCAGATAGAAAGATCAAAATGGATGCAGCATAATGCCGCGTATGGATGATAACCAGAGTTTTGTTCGTTTAAATATAATAATTTATATCTATGTATACATATAAAAACTGCGTGTACAATATAAAACTATATTTTATATGCTATCTGTGTAAACAGTCTATAGGTATCATTAATGCTTATGTTTCTGTCGTTGCAATAGACTATTATAGATTGTATTATTATAGATGAGTTTCGTATCTCGCTTACATAATTTTTATTTATCGATAAATAAAGTGAGATACGTTTGCACAATTTTATTATAATAAATTTTATTATAATAAATTAAATGGTATTTTAATAAATTTATTTTCGAGATAAAAAAGTTATTGAATTATATTAAGAAGTGATACTGGAATGTTGATTTATTTAAAAAATTCTAATATTTTTATATTGTATATACTTTTTAGTTATCAAAAAAGATTATGTAGTTACATTAATTAATTGTTTGTAACATGGAAATTACATATCAAGATATTCACTAAGTCTCAATGATTTAATCCATGCTTTCCATGTACAGCTTCTGTAATTTATTTTTCATAAGTAAAAAAAATCCGGTTTTAGAGACTTAATAACGAAATCGCACGATAAACGAGCTGGAACAACCCGCTTATCCTTGGCACGCCTCACCGGGTGTCTTTCGAGTCGATCCCGCACTCGATCAATGACAATTTCACCCTGCGGGTATGGGCGTCGATAATGCTTTTACGTGCGAATCATGTAGACACGATTTCTCACACGTACGCACCACTTTCCGTCACGGTTCGTCCCCGAACACGAAATTTGACGCGTGTTCACGTATTTTTCACGTAATTTCCCCATATCCCAGGTCGCGTGTACAATTAAAGGGCGCGTACATCGAGGTGTCTTGGGCAGGCGCCAGAAACTTTCGTTATATAATATAATCAAACTACATGAAAATTGCTCTACCGCTTTTCTACAGTATGCGTCAGATAGGTTCTTGAAGTCGAAGTGGATCTTTGTCGATTTCGATTGCCGGATGATAAGTCGCATATGCGTGCTGCGAATTTCCGGCAAAGGATCCCAGCGTTTTCTCTTCCACATTCAGTAAGATGGGTTCCCACGAGCGAAGTCGAGCACACGGTCTAGAAAGGCAATAACCAAAGATGATTAAGATATAGTCATTTTGTTTCTCGCTTCCCTGCTCTCTCTCCGCGGCGGTCCGGCTTGTCGTGCCGACACGAATGCAAACGCGGCACGGTCGCTAAACGTACAATTATTGCTTATTGGTAGCCTCGATTCGGAAGATAATTCTTCCCTCTTTCTCGCATTAGAGTCATGGGCCGATCCAGCTGTTCGAAACGCCACGTCGGTGAAAGGATTACGCTCTGTCCTTTTATGTGCGACCATTTTTCATGTGCCCACGACAAAAGCGCTGGAAAATAACTCGTCGATGATAAAAAATAGCTGGAAAATTTGTGTTAAATTTAATATATTTCATGTGTCCCAAATAATTTACTCAAATTTTTGTATTAATTTAACATAAGATAAATATGTTAGAATGCGACATTAACATAATGTAAAAATTAAAAAATGTAACACTTTTTGACATACAATTTTGAAACGTGGAAGCACATTTCTTTAGTAAAATTAATATGTTAAATTAATATATATACCTATTCGTCTTTCTTTCATTTATCTTAGAATTTATATTTTAAAACTACATTATTTTTATTTGTTCAGTTATTCATAAATTGTGTTATTTTTTTTACTTTAACACTAAGAAATATTAAATCTCAATTTAATACAAAGTGTATTCAAATAACATAATCACGTTATGCTAAAAATTCAGTATATAAATTTTAACAAGGCTCGGTTTCAACACAAATACAAAATGTTTTTTACTTGTAACATATTCTTATATAATACAAAAGTATTAAATTAACACAAAAATTTGGATAGACACGTAAAACGTGTTAAATACAATATAAAATATTTCTCTAAATTTTCAATCACACACAATAAACTAAATCATGTATTTAAATATTTTCTTTATTTTATGAAATAATATTGCAAAATTATAGCAGCAATTTTACAAGAAATAATGATATTCTATCGATTAAATATTTATTGAGCAAAATATTCAAATAAGGCCAGATTCTAAGATTATTGAAATATTACGGAATATCTAGTTAGCTTGAAACCTTCTCGCACGGTTTATATGCAAAATAACGGCGTGTATATCGATCCCTTCCGTTCTAAGTTTGCCTCTCAGCCACGTGATGTGCCGAGCATAGGAACTACTTCGATCCTAAGCACGATTAATACCAGGATGACCATTATTGCGAGTTTAAAGGGTGGTTGAAGAACGGTGTTCAGCGATACTCGGTAAACCATCGTGTGATCCGTATACAGCGAGCAATTTATTCGCGACTTTAATGATACGGGTAGCGACATCCCAGAACATCCCGATACGCTCGACTGACTCGACAAGAAAATTAATGCGCGACGTAATTCAACCATAACACCGTAGTGTTAAGCGATATACCGAAACTACTTTATACGTTCGTTCGAGAATCATTATGATTCGTCACAACGTGATGGTTGTCAATAACAGAATTAGCATCTTTTTCTCTTATATAGAATAATCAAACACATTGCAATTAACTCTATGATTATTGTCTTGCATCATCATATTATCAGATCTATACAGTGATAAAAGAAGATAATAAAGAATAAACGTCATGTATGTAAAGCAACATCTGTCATGCCAATCGCACATTTGTTTAAATAACATACAGAAAGAATAAAACTTTATAATATTACTTTCCTAAAATATCTAAAAATTTAGGTTGGAACAGATTTGAAAATAACTTTATTAGATCATTAAAATGATTATGTATAGAAAATTCAAGCACGATTATAATTTAAAAAGACCGACGAGAATAAATTGAAAGAAATAATTCTATTTTTTCAGTCAAAGCGGATCTCACTGTTTAATAGCATTAATATGAAATAACTATTACGAAATAATACAAATAAATTTGTGAAAATTTCCAAAAATTGACGATTAATCTAATTTAAGATATTAATATTTCAATTTCAGTTTGTGATTGCGTCAAGTCCGACAAACCAAATCAACACGTTTATAAAACTGAAGAAATATATTATATTCAAAATTTGCATATTAGTATTATTAAACACTAAAATTCGCTTTAATAAAAAATACGATTATTTTAAACGATGAGCAATGCTGGAGAAAATTTTGACAATCTATAAGAATTAGCTTGAACGTTCTACATAAAATTGTTTTGATAGAATTATTTCGATAAAATTACTTTTACGTCTGTATATATCGTATTTTAGATATATTTTAGTAGGAAAATCATTCTTTCCACGCACACATTCGCAAACTTCTACCTGTAAAAAATATCCTTTG